ACAAGATAAGATCATTCAGACAATCCTTACCTAACCTAAGCTCATCTCGAATGTGAGAGCAATTAGATTACATTAAAGTATTAAATTTGTTGATAAAATTAATAGCATCGATTCTCTTACAAATATTTAGGGTAGACATGCCATTGAAGTAGTGAGGGGTTGAAGAAAAGATAGATCGATGACCATAACGTTGGTGACGATGACGAAGATTATGAGACAGGTGATGGAGATAAGATAAAAATAAGAAGCACAAAAAGATGAGAAACTTAACTTTCTGTTTGTGGAAGAGTTGAATATTGAAGTATGCTAGCTCCTTGTACGTGTTGAGGAAGTCTTAATCTCTTTCATACTGATGTAGACCTCAACAAAGCAGACTGACCTGTCCTTGAGTCTTARTATCATTAAATCAGCATATTTTGCCCTCTAGCTAACCCTACTTTGTAATCCTTTCTCCAGACACAGAAGAGAACATTAAGGAATAAAAAAATGAGCGATAACATCTTGATTGTTAATGGAAGAAAAGTTATTATGAGAGACTTCAACTAGATGAATGTCGTTCTCATGAGTAAACTAATCGCCACAAGACCTTTGAGGCGTGGGAAAATGCATAGAGCAGTTTTCGTATGACCGTGAAAAGTTCACGGCACGAACACGGTCGTGACACGGCAAGGCATGCGCCAGACCAATCACATCGCACAAGAATTTACTCTCCATCCAATCAAATACCCGGAACACGGCATAAACACGGCGCGGACACGGTCACGCCAAGGTCACGGCAATGCAAGACCAATCATATTGCGCGTGAAAAAAATCAGCCAATTAAAATTCTAGAAAGTATCACGGTCACGTCACGTCACGCTTACGGCACTGAGCTTTTCACAGTCATACGAAAACTGCACTAAGACTTCTTTAATTGAAACAAGAATCAAAGCCTGGAAAAGARTAGAAGGATAAAGAAGACTAAAACTTACTGTAGGAAATTTAATGGTTTTTGACATGGATGGAATGACRCATGCTGCTTTGTTTCGTAAGTAATCAATATATTTTATACGAGAGCAGATACCAGTAAAGGTATGTCCATCTATAGCACCATGATCAACAACAGTAACATCACAGATATTATATAGTGCCATCATCTTAAATATACTATCAGCACTTGAATTAACATCATCAACCTAAACATATTATGATCATCATTACCATCACCTATCACCATTACCTTGAGAGAGAGCATCATCACTGCTATCATTGCCATCATCATCATACATAACCCTTATCAAYTTCAACATTATTCTCATGACTGTTGGAATCACCAGCAGCAGCATCKTYACCATCATCATTACCAGGCGTCACTAACAACAGCATCATCATTGCTACCATTCAGTATCATTATCAACCTCGTTAACGTCATCGTCATCATTACACCATCACCACCATCAATACCACCATCACCAACACCAACACCAACACCACCAACAGCAACACCAACAGCAACACCAACACCAACACCAACACCAACACCACCATCACCACCACCGTCATCATCATTACCCAGGGTTCGTACAGATTTTGTAATACAAAATTTAAGGACTTTTCAATGACTTTTTAAGGACTAATATTCTATTATCAAGGACACAAGATCAACAACAAACAGAAAAATACAGTTACTATACTGACTTGTCTTACCATACTCAACTAGTCTATCAGAAAATTACAGTCAACTTTGCTTAAGAGCCTTCTCCTTTTGGCAAAGATTTTCCTCGACATCCATTAATTTCTTTGATTTTGAATTGAAAATGCACTTATATTAAATAAATTTGCCCATTGCAGCATGCTTCGATGCATGCACTTCACGTTTGATTACTCTGACTAGTACTTATTCTCCCCTCGTCAACATGTGCAAGAAAACGAGGTAGGGTCCGCCATATTGAAGAAAACGAAAACAGGCAGCTCAAAACAAAAAAAGAAATTACATTAATCGATGGAATTATTTTCATTTTGCTCCAAAAATCTTGACTCTTTTTAATTTTGATCCCTAAAGATATATTTTACATTAACCAAGACTAATTCAAGGACTAAATTATCATTTTCAAGGTCTTTTACTCCTTATAGTACACTCAACAAAATTACTCGACTCTGATTGGTCGAGAGGAGTACAATTATAGCGTTAATTGTACTCCGTAGGAGTACCGAATTAAGTCGCTATGGCAACACGGCCAAAACAATGTCAAAACAATTATTTTCGATCATTTTGTACTTAAAAAACATATAAATAAAATCTTAAAGCCGTAAGAACTAATCTTTTTTATGAATTTCAGTTGCGCGATGGACTGAAAATCGGCCGCCAAATAGACAAAGATGAACGCCGTCGCTTCGCAYTTTTTACTGACATTTTGTTGAGTGAACTATAAACAAAAAATCGCACGATCTTTCCTATACAAATCCAAGGAMTTTTCAAGGACCTAGCTCAAAAATCAAGGACTTTTCAAGGCTGTACGTACCCTAATCACCACCACCATCATCATTATTATTACTACCGTCATAACAAGAGCATCATCAAAAACAACACATTAAACATCAATGTGGCTATGACCTCATTTCAATGATCTAGGTTGTAGCATTATCGACAGAAAAAAACCCATGGAAAATAAAAGGAGATGGTTTGACTCACAATCTAGAAGATGCAGGCAAAACTCATTTTAAAACGAAAACTAATATACTTTTTATTAACGTGGGCATTAGAACATCTGGCAGGTCGGGTTGAAAGTTAATCTTCTTATCCTCCCACACATTCATGGCCACTGGAAATATTATGTCTTCATTCTTTGATATTATAGATTCTTATGAACAGACACCGCGTATCAAGTGATCTCTCTATAATGGAGCACAGACGTCGCAGTAGTCTTTAGTGAATTACTGTGTTTTTGAGAGAATGGTTCTTTTATTAGTTTCGTCRAGATTTTCTTGCAGCCAACGATGTCGTCGATAAAGGTTTAAGCAACTCTATTATGTGTTTTTTTCCCTTCCTTCTACCGCTTTTCTCTGTTCACTGTTTCGGTTTGCTTGTCTGCATTTTATTTGTGTCTGTCTGTCCGTCCTCGCCACGAGCGTATATATTTATTTGTCTGTCTGTCTGTCTTCCATGATTWGTTTCATGTCACTCAGTAACGAGTAACGCTAGTGCATGCTGTAATCCCAATAAACCTATAGATGCTTTGCACTCCCACTTGGAGTTCAAATTACTCAGATTTAAATTTTGAGACAGTACTAAAAGAAGACCTTTTCTACGTCAGGCCCCTCCCCTTGTAAGTAAAAATATTAACACCGTTCT